CCATTTTGGAAGTAAAAGGTGAATAATAATGTCGATGAAGGAGATTCATCCACGGGTGACCTTTGATTTTATATCCAAATTAGAAAAAAATCGGTCCTGTAGTTTCGGAGAAAAGGCGTGGACGGCGGACGGCGTACGGCGTATGGCTGACGGCGTGCGGCGGACGGACAACAAAATTTTTATTCGTTTTTCGAATTCTACTCATCCTGAAACATGAAAGCTCAAATTTTGAGAGGGGGTTAAGTTTTTGAATTTTTTGGTCGATCACAATGGTTGATTATTGAAAATAATAAACCAAAATTAATTTGTAAAAAAACTTCGAAAGTTAAATAAAATTCAAGGTAATTGATAAGGGAAAACTTTTTTTTTTTTGCGCATTATACGTTTATAAAAATAAATGAAGCGCACTAGGATGGTAAAGGTAATGTTCAAGCAAGCTAAGCTCATAAATAGCGGGTCCATAGCCGCATGATCCCTGCAGCGGAGTGGTTTGTAGGCAGCAAATTGATGTGTTGTGGTCGGCTGGGCGAACCGCACCCCCTGCTCCCAGCTCCCCGCTCAACGGGTGGCGTCTCTCGGGATCTCCCTTCGTTAGCAGTTCCCGATCTGTCAACTCTAAGGATCTAAGCAGATCGCATGATTTAGGAGGATCGCGTTTAAGATACTTTTGTCGAGTTTGGCTTCTTGTGAAAAGATCATATATAAAAAACATCTCATTCTATACATTTATTGTCTCTACTCCCAGGCTAAACAAGCCTTTAAATATAATAGGGTATTTTTCCAAAAAATGTCCGTTTTTCAACCAAATATTTGTATTATTATTTCTCTGATATAAAATACGATTAATACTCAAAATATAGTCCACTGTTATCTACCGTCATTAGCCAATTGCTAGATCCCACGCTGATAGCATTCTTTGGGATGGCTGTCAAAGAACTCTTGGATCGCGATTTTAACTTCGACAAAATTAACAAATTTTTCCCAAAAAGAAAATGGGCCGTGGATTTAAATAAATAGTAATCCGATGGTGCGAGGTCTGGACTATACGGTGAATGAGGCAGGTGTCTCATATCAGAAGGGGTTTTGAATAAATTTTCAGAAATTTCTAACCTCTTAGCTGATTGCTGAAGAGTATGTTCGCGAAGGACTAGTCTAATGCTCTTTTTCACCTTCCCCATGGAGAGTAGATGGCGACTGAAAGAATCTTTCGACACAACACACTCCCTAAGACGGATTTGACTCATCAGCTTCCTACAGAATCTCATTAATATCTATTAATGGTCGCTCGGAGTCATTCTTCCTTTCCAACGTCCTATCTCCACTGCTAAATTTTTCAAAACAACGCCGCGCAGTGTGCTGGTCAAGGACACCTCCCCCTTGATATTTAATAATTTCACGAGTTGCTTCAGCGGCTGTGAATTTTTTTTCCTGTAATGCCTTAAAATGACGAGACTTTCATGTTTCTTCTTTGAAACAAATAACTAAACTAAAGCTTTTTTTGAGGAAGTCGAATGGGGTTATTAAGTATCGGTAACCCCGCTTGTATTGGTAACCCCGCTTGAAGCCGAGTTGCTTCAGCGGCTGTGAATTTTTTTTCCTGTAATGCCTTAAAATGATGTTTCTTCATGTTTCTTCTTTGAAACAAATAACTAAACTGAAGCTTTTTTTGAGGAAGTCGAATGGGGTTATTAAGTATCGGTAAGTATTAAAATATTAACAGTCCTTAAAATCTAGAATTTGATAAAACGGTAATTTTTTTTATGTACCCAATTACTTGGTTACAATATTATATTTATTTCAAAAATGGCTTCGACATAAAAACCTTGCATTAACGATGCAACAGGACCTATCATATACTAGGCTATTAAATAGACTGAAGCTGTAAAAAAATTTATTTGGATTTCATAAATACTTACTTATTATCACTTTCTATATAAAACCCTCCTCTATCCCTACACAACGCTCTATGTGACACAGTGTTGAATCTTCTGTCAGATCCTTAAAGACCTGTAATAGCATTAACAATATATACAATTATAAATGTGTATAAATTACTCTGGTAAACTTTGCTCTGACTGATCGTCAGTTGTATCATATTCTAAAAATGGCTTTATGATGACTAAAACATTCGATGAACACGTAGTTTCTTATTCTTGGGGGTTATAGCTTATTAAAAAAAAGTTGAAATGCTACATATTTCCCTCATTTACAGTATTCAGATCCGATTTTTAGTTTCTGAGATATTCAATTTTTAAAAAACCTGTTTTTTATCGATTAGTATGAGACATGTTTATGCTCTTCATTAAACAATCATTGAACAAGATTTTATTATTTATCTATTTTATTTTTTTCATAAGTTAACATACACGATTTCTGAACATAAGTTATTGGACGGAGGGTTGAGTGACTAATAAAACGTAAAAAACTCAAGAATTTTTATTCGGTAAAAAATGAGTAATATTTACATTGGCCCAATTAGTATCAAGCTACGGATATTTTTCCACTGCCAATTAGATACAATTAAGTCATAATAAAAAAAACGGATTATGAATGCTTTGATTTCTCTAAACTTATGAAGTTCACTGTTATTTTTAGCTGTCTCGTGACGGTTTTTCGTTTGTGGTATAAATAGTTCGCTAATGAGAGATTCATGAAGTAAATGTGGTTTTCTTTTATTGTTTTATTAAATAGAGATGTGGCTCCAGTATTAAAGTTGTATTCACTATCAAACTTGTAAGAGCCTCTTTGTCATATTACATTATAATCGTCTAATTCGTATGATGCACATTATGATCTTCAGCTTTAATATAATTTAATATATGAGGTAAGTACTGTACTTTTACATTCGCATCCCTAGGATTGGATAAAAGGTGGTGTGTTTCATTTTATATTAATTTCAATTACTTGAGAAATTCATTTTAACAGACTGTATCTCCTAAAGGGATAGCTCATTATTTGTATATTATCTTTAGTATTTTCCATAAGAATGTCTTAAGTAAAAGATAAAAATCAATAGTCCACAATTAGTTGGCAGGCCGAGAGCGAACAAACTCATGCAGTACTTTTTTAATTTATGTATTGTATAATATATTAGTCCGTGACTTGAACAATGGTTATAGGGAAGTAAGATCACATTCAAACTACGTTTAAAAAAAAAAATTAAATAAACAGAAGCAAAATAATAACCAAAAAGTATGTACAATAAATAAAGTAAATAACTTAAAAATAAGTTAATTAAAAAAAAACTGTTTACAATCAGGCGAGATAACTTCGAGGCACGATTGTCCAACTATGGAGGGAAAAACAAGACTCCAGGAGAACTCTGCATTACTCTCTACCGCGTCTCTGGTACTCTCTCTAAAGCCTGTAGAGATTGATCGAATTCTGGTGATACGGAACTAGCAAGGATAGGTCACCGATTTCAACAATTTCTTTAGGAGAATTCATCAAAAAATACTGGACACATCCGGTGTTCGTTATAATTAAATATTATTTTATATAATTTCAAGCAAAATGAAATTTTTTTCATTAAAAAAAGTAAATTATTTTAATAACATCAATATAGAATTTGGAGAAAATTTTATAGGAATAATCTTTTGGTTTGTGTAATTTCCTCATACTGCATAAAAAAAAAACTAAAAAATATAATAAATCGATGTGTGCTTAAGACCACACGATAAAAGTGAAAACATCAAACATGTGGGATTAATAATATGATTTTTTTTTTTTTTTATATTCACAAAGTAATTACGTTACAAATTTTTTTTTCTTTATTATCTCTATTTTAGTTATCATTTAATGCACATATTGTGATAGTGCTTAATGTAGTCCTAATATTAATTCCCTCCAATGTGGCAGAGTTTATCAATTTTTCCAACTAATAAAAAAAAAAAAATAACGTTACAATATACAGAATGTCCGTAAGTAGAGGTAGATATTTGAGAGATTGATATCAGACTTAAGGATCTACAAAAAAGTTCAGATAAACAATTGTCTAATTTCCAGCAGAAAAGTATAAAATTTAAGATTTGTGTTTTTTCAAGCTAGTCACATTTTTTTGTTAAATAGGAAGCAATAATTTAAAAAATATTTCATTTAAGTAATTAAACATTCCTCCATAGTAAACTAGACGAAATTTAATTCAAACAAAAGTAGAGTTACGACCTTTTTTTAAACGAAACTTAACTGTATTTAGCCGGTCAAATGTCCTGTTTAAATTGTTTCCATAATGGCAAACTCTACTTTCGTTTGAAGTAAATTTTGTCTAGTTCACTATGGAGCGATGTTTAATTACCTAAATCATATATTTTTCATTTGTTACTACCTATTTACCAAAAACTAATAAACAACTTGCTTAAAAAACAAACGTTAAATTTCCTACTTTTCTGCTCGAAATTGGGAAATTGTTTAAATGAACTTTATAATGTACAAACTTATAATTCACTACCCACAAAAAAATTCATATGCGCGCTTAAAGAAGTTTTCCCGAAAAAAAAAGATCGGTGTATAATAGTCTTGTTACCGGGGAAAGGCAAAGAGAAAAAAAAATAACATGCATTTTACTTAAAATTATATAAACTATTTTTTTCTCTGCCATGCGTCATTTGATGGAACACCAGAATATGTGTCCAATCTTTGTAGGAGAAAAAAATTATTTCTAAAAATTAACTTTTTTATTACAGTTCGATTTTATTTACAAAATTTTACATGATTGCTATGTCATCTTGTAATGTATAATTATTTTTGAGAATAAAATAGGAGAGTAAAGACAAACAAATAATAGTAAACAAGTGTTAGAGCCATCTGCGGTATGAATTATTTCACATTGAGCTGACCTTTTGATCAAAACGATTTTTTCATGTTACATGTTTAATGTTATTTTTTTCTTGTTTTGTTGATAGCGAATGGTGGTGGTTTTAGGTGGCTAAAAATACGTCATGGATATATTGTAAGAGTTTATTTGCACCTATTTTTTAAAAATATGATTTGAACATTGACAGTTTGAGAGGCTGAGGTTCGGCTTCTACAACAACTGTTGGTACCAGTGCGACATGGAGATGAAGAAGACGCTGGTGATAATGACGCTGGCAGCAAACAGGACGGTAAGGTTGGAAGCTTACGGTATTACCTTTGCCGGCCACAAGACGTATGTTTCGGTAAGATTATGTTGTAATTAATATTAAAAAAAATCTTACTTATGCTATGATTTGTAAGAAAGATATTGTAAAAATTTTATTATTAAAATATTTGTGCATGAAAACACAACCGACTGTTGAAATGAGTCATTACAGCCTAATTTAAGTTTTCATAAATTTCCTTAGGCCTCATTATAAATAGGTTTTTATTTATTTTTTTCATACTAAACGGCCAGATATTTTGAATGCTATATTTTTTCTCGATTTTTTTTTATGTTATTATCTTACAATTCATCTAGAAATCAAGTTGGTGTTCATGAGTTTTCAGTACCTAATTAAATAAACTAAGTTTGCCACATCTTCAGATTGAATACGCCCCGATTCCAAGAATTTTTCATAAATAAAACAGGCGTAGGTTACGATGAGATGAAGCTATTCACATTGTTTTAGGCGGATGTTAATAATTTGATAAAAAGGGATCAGTAACATGGAATATAACGTGCTCCAACTAGATTGAAGCACCTTCAATCTCTCCTTAAATTTTCTTCATTCACAAATAACATCTAACCAGCTTGATTTTGGTCTTTCTTTCCTATATGTTATGTGTATCTTTCTTTTAAGAATATTTCGAGAACCACGACTGATATGCCCATCTCACTGCTGCTTCTCTAATTTATTATTCGTCACTTTGGTAGCTAATTTTAATAGTTACTTTACCTCTCTGTTCGTGCTACATTGTCGCGTTTGTTCATGAGTTAACGAATCGGAGGCAGTGAAGACTTTATCAGTAATGCTTTTATTGATAATACCTGTTACCAATTGCATCTAAAATAAAGAGTAATATACTATGGATATATGGGTTGATTACACGAGTTCACTCCAGGTCTCCTACAGTGAAGAGTGTGACTTCAAGAATGTATCTGCTTGCTTATGATTTGGTCTGAAGAGTGTAGGGTTTATATACACAAGAATAGCAAGGGGTGAAGAGAAGTCGGAAGAGGGCGGCAAAGGAAGTTACCGATAGTTTATATTCTTAAGATGAGGTCTGTGAGAAAGTGCCCTTTTGCTGAAATCGGTTATTTTTCCCTAAGTATTGATAATGGGTCTTCCGTCCAGTCGGTACATTCTAGATAACTATTTCTAAGCTATCAGAGATAGATTGACCTGGCTATCTAGGGATGCTTTGTTCTTTTATCCTTTGAGTCCTGAGAAAGGTCAATATAATACATGATTCACCAATTGGCATATTAAATAAAATAAAAGTTAAATTAATATTATTATTATTTGTTACGGATTAAGTCCATTCCATAACTATGGAAAGTATGTATATAGATTTTATGAACGACTATTCGATCAAAACGTGGTAGATCCGACATTCTTAAGCATACTTTAAGACAGGTCATGTCTTTGTAGATCTGGATAAACTTCTATTCTTAGAATAGTTGAGAAGATCATTATGGGATATGTTGGCTAGATGGGTTGATTACATTACTTCTTCTTGGACATTGCTATAAACTTCACATCTCTAAACCAGCTTGTTACATTAATCTCTGTTACCTATTGCATTGCATTAGTCTCGGCTTTTTATTGCATTTTAAATAGTTTTTTTTTAATCTACTGTATTTGTTCAATAAGCCTGACCCACTAGCGGATCCAGGATTTAGTTTTGGAGGGGCTTCAGCCCGACAGTTTTTTTTTTCATATATATAAAACGATAATTAATTTGAAAAAAAAGAAATTAATTAATTATCTATATGAAGTGGTGTTTAAGTGGTTCTTGAAGTCCTATTAAATGTAATTACACCAACAAGAATACTTTACAAGAGATAGTATGAAGTATTTTTTTCTGTAAAATATGGTTACATTTTACCATTTGGGAGGGGGGGACTTTAGCCCGAAAGCCCCCCCGTAGATCCGCCTGTGGCCTGACCGATAAACTTTTCGTCAATCGAGGCACCAACAGTACAGAAAATTACTGATAAATGATGTAAAGATTAAAAAAAGCAAAATAGCATTGGTTGGTCAGATGTTCTCGAGAGATAAGACTAAAAAACCGTTATCTGATTTACTTGAAGAAAAAAGTTTAGTCATACATCGCTATAATGTCCATCCTCAGCATTCAGTTTGCACTAGTATACCATCTCAAATCCAGGTAATTTCAAAATAGCTTTGAAATATGTGAATAAGAATAAGAAAAATGTGAATAAAACGAGTATAAATACATGTCAAACTTAAAAAAGTCAAGCACTTCCATTAACTAGTTCCTCCATATATAATAATGTATTAATTAATTCATATAATGTATGATAATGTTTATAAATCGCTTGTTAAACATTGAAAAACATATTATTATTTATTTTTATAAAAACGGAAAAGTATTGTTCCCAGTGAAGAAAGGGATAAAAAGAAACGGTGATATGCTAAAGTGAGAAGACTAATGGACGAGACAATGATGGCGGCCCGAATAGCATTCTTCAATCAAGATAATAGCTAGCGTTTTATTCCAGGCCATTTACTATCATTCATGGAAGAGGGAGGAAAGAGGGCGATTCTGCGAGTGCACTTACCATCTGATGCAGTCGTCACGAAATTATTGCCATGCCTCTAAAATTTTCATACATGGTAGACTATTGAAATTTAATCCATATGTACCATCTAACAGGAACAAAGGGTATTTAAAAAATAAATGTATGCTTAATATTTCTCACTACGTTCTCTCAATATGAAAACAACCCCCTTGTCCATCTCCAACCTAAAGGCTTCCTGAACCACAATAAAATAAATATATATATATATTTTTTTAAACTTTTATTGAGTATTAATACAGTGTGCCACACTGAAGGGCATTGGTACTAGGGCTATAGTATTCATTCACACAATATGTACATAAGAAAGGAAAACAAATATATATATATATATATATATATATATATATATATATATATATATATATATATATATATATATATATATATATATATATAAATAAAAAGATAATGTAATATAAAAGATAATTAAAACAACAGATCAGCCTAATAATAACAAAACAAATAAAACACATTCTCACCTATGTACAATATTTACATTGGACCGGGGGACTCCGAATCAAGATAAAATAAATAAAACTAACTATAATTCTACCGGCCTCAGGCTACCGAGATGAAAAAGTTCTAATTTTCTAGACTTTTTGTGAATAAGTGATGCGCTAAAAACTCTCTTAAACAATCCGTTGGAGAAAGAATGTGGGAGATGAAATGTCTTAGAAATCAGAAGCATCCACGATATCAAATTATAAACAAAACTGAGTTTATATAAATTTTAGTACACATCATCAGATCATGTTTCTGCCTCAACGTTTCTGCCTGTTGTGATATTATCACAACTATGTACTTTATCAACCCAAAAGACTGCATCCTTTTTTTTCTTACATTTATAATTTTATTTCCATTTTTCTTCATCTGAGCAAGATGAACAAATTTTTATATTCACCATTTTCATATAATTTATACTTTATACAAACATGTTACTCCAGTGAATATTCAAATTCAGACTATTTCAAATCAAGCTTTAAAAATTTTAGGACCTTTTAGTAATATTCGGCTCTCATCAAATTACCATGATCAAATGTTTCCTAAGTTTTGAGAATACTAAAATCGTCTATTAGAGGGGAATATGCACCAATAGAACAGCATAGAAATTTATTATATAATAGAATATATTAATAATTAAGGAAAAGAAAGTGGCTGTCGAGAAAAAAATAAAAACTATTTATGAATGAAATGAAAAATGAAAATGAAAAAATAATTTTATTCTGGGACTACAGCTCCGTAAGAATAACAACAGTGTTACAAATTTATTGGTAATAGTCTGGCTTAAAATAATAAAAAAATACAAATTAATTAACTGCTTACTGTTATTGAAATTGTGCAGTAGATTGAAATTAAACAGCATACAGATACAAGTAATTTGACATGTTAGCGGTAGTTTGAATGTGGAGTAGGTGGTGGTACAGGAGTTGTTTGAAGGAATTTGTGGGCGAGGATTGACGTACGTAGGAAGAGAGTTCCAAAAGGAGATAGCACGAGTGACGAAGGATTTGCTGAAGGAAGTAGTTTTATGAGAGGGGATATATAAGTCTATAGGTTTAGACCTAGTATTAAGAGTGTGGATAGAGAAGCCTAGAGTAAGGAGTTCCAGGATGTAGAGAGGATTTTAGGTTCTGAGAACTTGGAAAAGGAAAACACCAAGGAGGAATTATCGTCGGGCCACTTCAACTCATGATGTACCAAAATGAAGCATGCGAACGCCTGGGAGTCTCGAAGATGTATCTTATGAAACAGTTCATGAGTTTCTTCAGTCTCATTTCTAGCCTGACAGATAGCCCTCCATACACCAAACAGCTATAGTGGAAGTGGGGAAATATGAGGGAGGTTACAAGGAGCCGTCTGGATTTTAGAGGAGTACAATCACGGAATCTTATTGAAAGTTTGAATCCACAATTAGGTCCTCGTTAGTAAAGGAAGATGAAGGAACTATTGCAGAAGTATAGAAATTATATGCATAAACATTGACATAAATATCAACAGAAACAAAAGGAAAATTAAAAGATAAATATCTGATATTTATGTAATAAACTTCTCTGTTTATTAGCCTATTTTTTTAAATGAAAATAATAGACTATTTCACTTTATGAAAAAACTTCTGAGAGGTGAGTGAGTTTTATATTTCTAGAATGCATTTTATAATCCCTGCAACACGATTTTACGGGTTTCGGGAATATCTTATGTCAGCCTTCTCTATGTCAAATAAAGTGATATTCAAAATGTTGGCCCATCCAGGCGGTTTTTCTCTGTATTTAAAATTATTCACACCAGTTGTTCACCCTCGTCTTCTTCTTAAGCTTACTCTCTTCTACCGCTGGGCAGAGTGAGGGGTACCTGCTTGTTGAGCCTGATCCAAGAGTCTCGATCCTGTAGGAGCTGGTGGCGTCCATTCCAGTCCATTCTTTCTCCTGTTGAATG